AATCCTAACTATCCCTCCATAGTGGAGTCCAACATTACTACTGACTTCAACATCCAGACAGGTGACCTCCCCAATACATGAGGTGTAGTGGGTTGAATGGTGACCCCCAAAAAGATATGTCCACATCCTAATCTCTGGAATCTGAGATTACCCTACGTGGCAAATGAGTGAACAGTACCTTTTATGGCTAAATATCTAATTAAGTTAAGGATCTTTTTTTAAAAAAAAATTATTTTTGTTTATTTCAGAGAGGAAGGGAGAGGAAATGGGAGATATCAATGATGAGAGAGAGTCACCGATTGATTCCCTCCTGCATGCTGCACAACCTGGGCATGTGCCCTGACCTGGAATCGAACCGTGACCTTCTGGTTCACAGGTCGATGTTCAACCACTGAGCCATGCCGGACAGGCATGTTAAGGATCTTGAGAGCAAAAATTTTTCCTGGATTATCTTAGTGGGCCCAAAACACAATCGCATGTGTTGTTGTAAGATAGACATCCAGAGAAGAGAAAGAAGAGGAAGAGGCAATATGACCAATGAGGCAGCGACTGGAGTGAGGCAGCCACCAGTTAGGGAATGCCAACAGCCACCAGGAGCTGGAGAAGGCCACGAACGGTGTGATGGCTAATTTAACTGTCACCTTGCCTGGACTAGGAGGTACCCAGGTATTTGGTCAAACATTATCTTGAATGTTCCCATAAGGGTGTTTTTGGATGAGATGCCGATATAAATCAGTAGAATAAAGCAGATTTCCCTCCCTAATATAGGTGGGCCTCATCCAATCGGTTGAAAGCCTGAATAGAACAAAAAGGCTGGCCCTCCCCTGAGCAGGACAGAATCCCTCCTGCCTACCTTTGAAGCGGGCCATTGGCTTTTTCCTGCCTCAGGACTGGAGTTGATACACTGTCTCTTCCTGGGTCTCAAGCCTGCTGGTCTTGGGACCAAAACTACATTATCAGTTCTCTGGGTCAAAGGCCTTCAGACTCCGCCTGGAACTGCACCATCAGCTGTCCGGGGTCTCCAGCGTCCCAACTCAACCTGCAGGTCTTGAGACTTATCAGCCTCCACAATCACGTGAGCCAACTCCTTATAATAAATACCTTTATACTTATATATCTCCTCTTGGTTCTGTATCTCTGGAGATCACGGGCTGCCCTGACATCTTGGTTTCAAACTTGGGGCATCCAGAACTGTGAGAGAGTAAATTTGTTTTAAGCCACCAAGTTTCTGGTAATTTCTATGGCAGCCCTAGAAAATCTGCACACTGGTCTTCACTGAACTCCTCTCCCTCAACCACTTTCCCCCCACTCCACACTGGCCACCAGTTTCACAGTCACATCGCAGGACATTTTAATGTCACATCATCTAAAATCACAATTTTGAACACCCCACTCTCACACCAACTTCTATCTTCCAAGCTGACTCCCAGAACCCTTCCTTGCCTTCAACCCCAGTGGGACCTATACTCCACCCAGCCTATGACTTTCAGTTAACCCCTTGTCTCCCTCATGGCGTCATCTCTCTCTAAACCACCTACATTCTTTGTGTTTTATTCATTTCTCTGTATTTTACATTCCCACCAGCAGTGTATTAGGGTTCCTATTTCCTCACATTGTCATCAGCACTTGTCACTGTCTTTTTTTCTTTCTCTTTAATCCTCACCCAAGGACATTTTCATGTATTTTTAGAGAGGTATGTGCCCTGACCAGAAATCAAACCCAAGACTTTTCAGTGAAAGGGACGATGCTTTTATCACCTTGGCCACAGTAGCCAGGGCAATGCCAGTTTTGTTTTTAATTTTAATCATCCTTGTGGGGGTGTCATGGCATTGCATTGTGGTTTTGATTAGACATTTCCCTAATGACTAATTCTGTTGAGCATCTTTTCATGTGCTTATTGGCCATTTGTACATCTTGTTTGGAAAATGTCTATTTAGATCATTTGCCCATTTGCCCTCCAGTTAATTTACTTTTTTTTTTGGTAAAAAAATTCATGACATAAACTTGATCATCTTAACCATTTTATTTATTTTTGTTGTTGTTAATCTTCACCCAAGGATATTTTTCCATTGATTTTTAGAGAGGGTGGAAGAGAGAGGGAAAGACAGAGAGAAACATCGATGTGAGAGAAACATGTCGATTGGTTGCCTCCTGCAGGCGTGCTGACCAGGGCCCCACCCAGCAGGGGAGGAGCCGGCAAGCAAGGTACATGCCCTTAACCAGAATCGAATCGAACCCGGGACCCTTCGGTCCACACGCCAATGCTCTATTCACCGAGCAATACCAGTTAGGGCTTGCTTATCCATTCTATTTTAATCCTCATCCAAGAATATGCTTTTTAAAAATTTATTTTAGAGAGGGGGAGAGGAACATCGAAGTGAGAGAAGCATTGATTGGCTGCCTCCTGTGTGTGCCTGTGTTAAGTTTATTCACACGGTTGTGAAACAGATCTCCTGAACTTTTTCATCTTGTAAATCTGAAACTTTACACCGATTTAAAAACAATTCTTTCTTTTCCCCCTCACCCCAGCTCCTGGTAGCCACCATTCCACTGTGCCGCTGCCATGTTTACATTGGGTTACTTGGGGTTTTTGCTCTATTTGAGTTGTAAGAGTTCCTTATAATTCTGGACACGTCCCTCATCAGAGATAGGATCTGCAAATAGTTCCTCCTCTTCAATGGGTTGGCTTTTTACTTCCATGACAGTTGCTTTTGAGCATCAAAGTCTTTAATTTTGATGAAGTTCAATTTATCTGTTTTTCTTTTATGGCTTATGCTTTTAGCATCATGTCTAGAAAGGTGCTACATGCTCCAAGGTGGCAAAGATGTTCTGTTCTAAAAGTTTTCTGGCAAGAAAACAAGTCAACAATCCTAATTGTTCCGGGTCTATAACAACACGAGTTGTTCTGATTTTTTAAAGGAAATGATTTAATATCACTAATGCCCAAATAGCTCCAGTGGACACTTATTAAGAAGAAGAAGAAAATTAAGAGAGATTGTTCAGTAAATTCAAATACTTCCTCATTTATAGCAGATTTTGAAGAAAAGGATAAGTAACTTTGTTCAAAGGTGAAGCCTGCCACCTGCTGGAGGAAAAAAGGTGAAATTTCACAGCATCCACTGAGTTCTACAACCACCTCCACTGAGGCAATCTACTAACAAACTGTACCTGCGTACTTCGTGTAACCAGTTTCTCTCTGTGTCTCTCGCTCTCCTTCTCTGCCACAGAGTAACCAAGGGGAATTCGGTCAAAGTTCTCTTGGTAAAGTGAGGGTGGGGGTAAGCAGAGTCGGACTGTGAGGCACCGGGTCAGAGAGTGGGAACAGGTTTATTCCCAGCCTTTGTGTATTAAGAAAGGGTTAAGAGTTATGTATATTTTACCATAGTTACAAGGAAGGAAGGGAGGGAGGGAGGGAGGGAGGGAGGGAGGGAGGGAGGATTGGGTGGCT